TTTAAGGTCTACATCTATGTCTGCTGCAGAAGACAGCCTGAGGAAAAGAAGTGAGGGAGGGAGGCTGCGACACCATAACTACCCTAAGCCGTCAACCCTCCACCCGAAACCCTAAACCCTGAAGTAAACTACTGATTCCACCGCCTGCACACAGGCCCAACGTGGCTTCGGGACCGACCATGGAAGATCTGCAAACGATCGCAAGCTCCACAGGAGCTTTCTTCCGTGAAATTTCCGGACACCCTCAGAACCCTAAACCCCAAAACCCCATACCCCCAAACCCCAAACCTTAAACCCCAAACCGTAAACCCTAAACCCCAAAGTCGGCGCCCTCGAACCTCTGAAGCTGTTAGCGGACTCTCTGGCTGCCGACCGGGCGTGCCTGAGCTTGTTGCACATTGCATATTCCCACAGAGCCCAATACCCCTTCATTAAGGAAGATTCCTTGCATCACAATGAGGATCACTATTATAATTTAAGCTGTATTCCTCAATTGGGCTCTCTGGGTTAGGTACTACATACTTAGTAATATGGGTGGCTCTCAACATCATGGTCCCTTTTTGGATCCCTATTCTGATACGGCACCTAATATTCAGGGTACCCCAAAAGAAAAACATCCTTGACGACCACCCATATTACGTACTACATATTTATAGGGTCTGTGCCAAGCCCCAAGCTCCTGCACATCGCGCAAGTGCCTGGAAAAAGGCAGTTCCTCCAAACTTTTCTTGGGGTTTAGGGTTTCGGGTTTAGGAATTAGGGAGTGTTGAGGGGCTTGCTGTGATATGGCGCACAAGCTGTGAAGGTTGGGATGCAGACGAGCTTTGAACCTGCACCCTAAACCCTAAACCCTAAACCCAGGGTTTTGAGGTTAGGGTTTGGGGCTTCGGGCTTCGTTTAGGGTTTCATGTTTCGGGGTGTACAATTTAGGGCGGGACCTACGATTCACATGGGCCCTCGATTTGTTGGGGCGATCCTGACTTATTTAACACGCTGCCTATGAAGTACTTGAGAGCAGGGCGAACGAAAGCTAGGGCGCAGGTGTGAAGACCGCGCTGCTCAGCCCTGAAATGATAAGTAACAATGCTGACCTAAGGGGGGGGGGGGGTCCTAAGGGGGGGGGGGGGGAACCCCCCCCCCCCCCCCCCACCTTATCGGGAACATGGGACCCCCTTAGGTCCACCAGCCTCCAAGGATTTCTTGTGCGGTTACCCCCAGAGGGGGGGGGGGGGGGGGCCCCCCCCCAGAACAAACTGGTAAACAAGAACTCCCGCAAGCTCCAAAGGAGCTAGCTTTCGTGCTCAAGTTCCCTCTGACAAGTTCAATTGGCCTCAGGCTCCACGTGACAGATTCCGAAATTCGGGCTGCCTTATTGGGGTCCTTATGTTAAGGGAATCCTACTATTTTGGGGGCCCTGAACCCTAAACCCTAAACCCTAAACCCTAAAACCGGGGGGTAGATCAGGGGCCCCTGATTCTCGTAAAACCCCCAAGGCTTGACCGATTCCCGCCTGAGCCAGCCTAGCTTGTCTTCCTCGGACCGGGACTGCGCCTGGGTTTCTAAGAAATATTCAACATACCCCTTGGGCATACCCTTAAAAGGAAATTCAGGGGTATGGTAGTACCATCCCTTAGACTCCCTAAAAGGTGTGGGTTTGGGGTTTGGTGATTCATTCTTAGAGGGTTTGGTCACTTCTCAAAACTCTCAAAACTATGGCCCTGAACCCTAAACCCTAAACCCCTAAACTCATCAAAACCCTAAACCAGTTGGAGGGTCCTTATTATGACAGCTCTGCACTACGTTGAGCGGTCTTGCCACAAGCGACGCTAAGACCTAAACCCTGAATCCAAGGCCCCAAACCAGCCTAAACCCTAAACGCTAAACCCTAAACCCTAAACGGCCCTAAACCCTAAACCCATAAACCCAAAACCCAAAACTCTAAACCCAAAACCCTAAACCCCTAAGCCCCAAACCCCTAAACCCTAAACCCTAAACCCTAAACCCTAAACCCTAAACCAGACCTAGTGCTGGTTGCCTTCAGCTGCTCCTGTTCGGCTTCCAGCTGCTGCTGCTCCTTGGTGAGGGCCTCATGACATCTAGCAGGTTACGACAGGGCTTGGGGTTGAGGATTTAGGGTTTAGGGTTTAGATTTTAGGGTTTCGGGTTTAGGGTTTAGGGATGAGGGATCCCCACAATTTGGGCCCCCAAGTAGTAGGATTCCCTAAGAATAAGGACCCCAGTAAGGTGCCCTAATTTCGGAAACCCCCATCTCATCATAACCTTCAACGGCCAGAAGCAGCAGGCTCATGGATGGGGGCGATCTGATTAGAATGCTCGGACCGATGTGGGCAAAACGAGCGTGATTTGTACACCCACACGAAGAATACGTCACTTTGGCATGCTACAGAGTGTCAATAATGCGCCGCAACGAACTCGAGCGGTTTCGGTCAAATCCCGCGCGCAAGAAAAACAAAACAAATCAGGGAATTGTGCCTCAGCGGGAAGAAAATTCAGCCACTTCACATTGACAAAAGGTGCGTACAAGGCATCCAGCACTTGTTCATCGTCACATTGTCCTTTTATGATGAAGTGAGATAGAATGCGAAGCTTGCATGCTGCCATCCCGACATTTTTGACAGGCACCGAGGAAAGAAGCAGTAGTGCCTCCAACTTGGTTGTTTTTTGGGCACCCTTCCTATGGTGAATATACGTGTCTAGGGATTCTGAGGGATTATGTCGGCAATGGCCCTCAGCCCTCAACCCTCAACCCTCGAGGGGCCCTCAACCCCAAACCCCGGTACTTAAACCTCCAAACGAGAAGTCTACTTCTAACCTACTTAGAGGACTTCGGGAGCTTATCAGTAGAGTTCTATTTGGGGGTTAAAAACCCTAAACCCTAAACCCTAAACCCTAAACCTTAAACCCTAAACCCTAAACCCTAAACCCTAAACCCTAGTTGGGGGGGCTCTGCGCACCCATGAACCCATGAACCACCAAGCATGCCTCCGTGTGGTGCAGGCGCCGCTTCGCAGCCTCGGGGCCGGTCTCACCTTCGAGGTTCAGGGTTTAGGGTTTAGGGTTTAGGGTTTAGGGTTTAGGGCTACTTGGAGGTTCATGGTACTTATCAGCCAATTATAACTGTACTTATAACTAGCCTTATCACTGTACTTATAACTGTACTTATCAACTTATAGCTGTACCTATAACTTGACTGTACTTATCACTGTACTTATAACTGTTATAACTGTACTTGTACCTGTACTTATATATAACTGTACTTGTGACCATATTAGGGCACTTCAGGGGCTTATAAGTGGGTTATAAGTACAGCGAAAATTGGCTAATAAGTACCAGACCCAGAGAGGCGGGGCCCCGAACTTCTGCACAAGGGGCAGTAGGAAGTTTAGGAAGCTTCGGGGGTTGTGGGTTTTAGGGTCTTGGGGTTTTAGGGTTTAGGGTGTAGGGTTTAGGGTTTAGGGCTTAGGGTTTGGGGCGTAGGGTTTAGGGCTTAGGGTTTAGGGCTTACAGGGCTTGGGCTTCGGGCTTAGGGTAATGAACGGATGGACACCACTGCCAGTCCTACTGTACCCTCACTGGAGGGAACCTCTTGCTGGGCATAGTTCATGCGTCCGGCCTTTCAGCCGAGTCCTTTCAGCGCGGAGAGCCTGGACAAGAGAGCCAAGGAGAGAGGTGTCAAACGCAACGTCTCATATAATCGCTGACCATATTCTATGCCAAATTCCACACAGCATATCACAGGCAAGATAAGCGTCCAATGCTATGTATTAGAGGCAGGGGAGGCGCAGACAACAACAAGGCACCATGCTGCAGCGCGAGAACAGGAAACACGGAGCCGGGTTGGATGGACAGGGATCGGCCAACACAGGCTCGCCCTAAACCCTAAACCCTAAACCCTAAACCCTAAAATTAAACCCTAAAACCTAAACCCTAAACCCTAAACCCTAACCAAGTCGTCAGAGAGCCCTCCCTCCCCCCCCCCCCCCCCCCCCCCCCCCCCCCTCCCCCCCCCCCTCGAGGCCTCCAGTCCTTGCAGCGCCTCTTGGGCTTCCTCGGATGCCTGGGCCGCCTCCTGCGCTCCAACAAGAAAGTGCAGGGATTAGGGTTTAGGGTTTAGGGTTTAGGGTTTGGGGTTTAGGGTTTAGGGTTTAGGGTTTAGGGTTTAGGGTTTAGGGTTTAGGGTTCAAGGTTCAGGGTTGAGGGTTAAGGTTCATTGTTTGGGCTTTAAGGTGTCATGTTGCAAGGTCTTGGTTCAGGGCTGCTGCGTGTACCCTCTAGTGACTCTAGTGCACACTCTCCACGTGTGCAGACATCTGCGGGTCGTTCCAACCCCAAACCCTCAGCTGCCTCAAAAGCAATGCAATTCCCATGAAGCCTGCGATGTAGCCGAACCACTCAGCCCGCAGCAAACCCTAAGCCCATAACTCTCAAACCCTAAACCCTAAACCCTAAACCCTAAACCCCTAACCCTAAACCCTAAACCCCTAACCCGAACCCTAAACCCTAAACCCTAAACCCCATACACCCCATAAACCCTGAACCCGAATCTACAAAGAGTAGCGGAGCCTCCTCGGCCCGGCTGAGGGTAAGCCGGGCCTGCTGGAGACCCTCCTCACAGCACCAAGGGTTTGGGGGGTTTAGGGGGTTTAGGGGTTAGGGTTTAGGGTTTAGGGTTTAGGGTTGAGGGTTTAGGGTTTAGGGTTTGGGGTTTAGGGTTTAGGGTGTAGGCCCCTTATACGAGCAGGGATTATAATAGGGGGTACTATAGTCCCTAGTAAGGACTGTTAGTAGAAGGGGGAACATAAAGGTGCTTGACTGATTGAGGCATATGCCTTCCGTCACAACAAGAACCCCTTTCGGGTAAAGGTACATCCCCTAAACCCGAAACCCTATAAACCCTGCGCCCTAAAGCCCTAAGCCCTAAACCCGAACAATCCTAAGTTCCTAAGCCCGAGAGCCTTAAGCACTGGAAGTCTCAGGGCACCTGTGCCCCCAATTGAGCTGCACCTGCAAGCTCCCCCTACGAGTAAAATGAGGTAAGTTAGAAGTAGACTTACAATCGAGGCTATAAGGGGGTTTCCGAATGTGGGCGGTCCTTATTACAAGGGATCCGACTACTTGGGGATCTACATGGGCTCCCCAATTTTCGTACACCCCCATTAAGTACCCAAAAACCTCCAAGTAAGACCCCTAAACCCTAAACCCTAAACCCTAAACCCTAAACCCTAAACCCCAAACCCTAAACCCTAAACCCTAAACCCTAAACTAAACCCTACCAAGTCGTCAGAGGCGAACCCTAAACCCTAAACCCCGCGGCCTTGATGGCGGCGGCCCGAGCGCCGCTCGCTTCGGCATGGGCAAGCTCGGCCTGGGTAGGGTTTAGGGCTTAGGGTTTAGGGGTTTAGGGGTTTAGGGTTTAGGGTTTGGGGTTTGGGGTTTAGGGGTTTAGGGGTTTGGGGGTTTAGGGGTTTAGGGGTTGGGGTTTAGGGTTTAGGGTTGGGGTTTAGGGTTTAGGGTTTAGGGGTTTAGGGGTTTGGGGGTTTAGGGGTTTAGGGGTTGGGGTTTAGGGATTGGGGTTTGGGGTTTATGGTTTAAGGGTTTGGGGTTTGGGATTTACGGGCTAAGGTTGAAGGGCTTGGGGTTGTGGGTTCAGTGCTTGAGGCTTGCGGGTTCCGGCTGTTACGTAGGGTCCTTCTATGGGCGGTTTCGCAGAAGCCTGGGAAGGGCGCGGAGCAGCCGTTGGAGGTATGCAGCATCTTTCAGAACATAATCCTGAGGGCGTGCGCCTTGCGTGCTTTACTATGGTGGTCTCAAACTCTGTACCGAAAACAAGGCATCTTGCCCCCGAAACTCAATGCATGGTCTGTACAATCGTCGGCATGCCCATGCTTGGCTGTTGCAAGTCAGCAAGCTCACCAAGAGAGGCAGAGAGTCTCCAATTTTAATGAAGATCTGTGCATTCTGTGCAATCTGTCTCTGTCAAAAGGCCGTTCACTGAAGGCCGCCGACCAAAATAGTCCTTTCGGTGATCAACATGACACCACGCTGCAAGGGCATCCAGAACCAGGCCTATTCATGAGCCCGCCTCCCGGTGATTCCAGAATGTCCACCCGCCCCCCCCACCCCAACCCTAAATCCTACAACCCTAACCAAACCCTAAGAAAAGCAAAGCCTGCAAAGCCTGCGACAACCCTAAATCCTAAAACGCTAAGGCATACATCCTAGACCCTCCCGACACAGGGTTTACCCGGGGGGGGGGAGCCGGGACCCCGGTAGTCCACCATCTTTTTGGGTTGAACACCCTAAATCCTAATCCCCAGACTTGAGATTCGAGCGGGCATCCTAGACTTGATAGGCCAGGCTTCGCGAAGTTCAGCTGTCAACTTCAACCCTAAACCTTAAACCCTAAACCCTAAACCCTAAACCCAAAAAGGTCCTAAACCTTTTAGGTTCACAGGGAAGACATGAACCCTGAAAATCTTGGATCCTGCAAAGGAAGCTGAAGCTCAGCTGTTTCAAGCTGAAAGCCAACACTGCGGACGGATCCTGGGTTCAAGATTCAAGCATCCCCTGGAATCTTGGACTCAGCCACGAACCCAAAAAACCCATCGACGTCATGCTGCGAGCCTGTCCTGCCTGTACCCTGGCGCATGCCCCATTGCGCCGAGAAGCATCCGAGACCCCAAAACCAAACTCAAGTCCTGCCTTAACCCTAAACCCTAAACCCGAAACCCTAAAACCCTAAACCCTAAACCCCAAACCCTAAACCCACACACAAACACAAGTCCTGATCAAGTCCGCGCGAGGGGCGGTCATTTCGAGCTGCCGCAGAGGCCTGGGAGTCTGACTGACGATGCACTGAAGATGCAGGGTTTGGGGTGTAGGGTTTAGGGTTTAGGGTTTAGGGTTTAGGGTTTAGGCTTTAGGGTTTAGGGTTTAGGGTTTAGGGGAAAGGCCTCCGAGCCTTCGCCTCAGCCTCCTTGAAATGGTTGTCGGTATCACGACTGTCTGCTTAAGAACCCCCTCCCCCCGCCCAAGAAAATTAAGAATAGCAGTCCCGATATTACCCTCCAAAGGATGAATGGTGTTTGTCTTCGGGGGGGGGGGGTCTTAAGCAAATAGCAGCCCTAAACGCGAAACCTTATTTGCATCTTTCAAGCGGGGGAGGGGCTGGTTCTTAAGCAAATAGTTGCCCTAAACCCTAAACCCTAAACCCTAAACCCTGTTCTTACCTTTTGGGGGGTTTCTCCAGCGACTAGTATCCCTAAACCTAAACCCCAGACCCTATTCTTAATTGTTGCGGGGGGTTGTTAGGCAAATAGTAGCGCTAAACCCGAAACCCTAAACTCTGCACCAAATCTTCATTTTTTCTGGGATTCTTAAGCAAATGGTAGCCTAGTAGCCCTAAACCGCAAACCCTAAAGGGGGGGGGGGGGGAGGATGGTTCTTAAGCAAACAGTAGCCCTAAACCCTAAAACCTAA